AGGACCTAAATCATCATCAGAAGTCCACTGTAAAAGTAGAAGTGAGTGATTAGATGAAGTACGATTCAGATGAGTCATAGTAAACTGTATACAAAAGTCTACAGCTAAAGAGTTAATCAAAATTCTATCCAATCTTTTACTGACCCTGCCATTCGTCCAGGTAAACAGAGACCCAGAAAAGCCAACGTCCTCTAAGCCACAGTCCAACATCATATCAGAAAAATCAGTAGAATCACTATCTTGACGACTATGACCAGTACGCTCACCATCATGTGTGATGACGTTAAAGTCACCCCGAACAAGCCAATGATCTTCCATAGAGAGGAAAATGTGGTAAAGACTTACCCACAAGTCCCTTCTAACATAGGCCTAACAAGCAACATAAACAGAAGTCATCATAGTACCTTATACGAGGACATTAATACTTTTGTGGTGTTGGATGTTGCTCCCTGCTAAGCGTCGCTAATACGTTATCGTTCGAATATGTCACAATCATATGAATGTTGTTAATGATCAATAGAGCATTCGTCATGATAGTAGGAGATCACGATCTACATTTATTCACTTAAGTTGGTAACAAAATCTTTGACCAAAGTGTAATCATAAGTCAAAAAATAGTTTTGATTTACATTGACTTAATAGTGGGATGAAAGATATAATCGATTATTGAGATTGATACACATTTATATCTCATAATTGAACGGATCATATTGAAGAAATGATCATAGGTTCATGGTAAACAAACAAGTTTGAGTTTGTCGTACCACGTGACATTTTTGGTCACATGTATTGCCGACACATTGTTGATGTCAATTTGGGACGACGGATCTGAATTGATTGTATTTTAATTTATCAATTTTGATTAGATCAAAATAATAATTACCGGTGTTGGGTATCATGATCGGGAACCCAATGAGTCACACACAAAAGGCGGACCAGAATAATGAGATTCACAAATTAATTAATTAACAATTGTTGGACAATTAATTAATTGAGTTGCTTGTTAATAGACCCGAATTAATTAATTATATCAATTAATTCATAGACCATATTTAATTAATTGGATTAATTAAATATTGAATCGGGTTAAGTTTAAGAGATGTGCCAAATCCACTTGAACTTATATTAATAAGCTATTAGGGTTTCAGAAAAATAGAACACAATTTATTATCCTAGCACAAGAAAATAGAAATATTAATTTTCTCATTTTTGTTCCCTGTATGATTTTTCATTGGAGACTGAACAATTAGACAATTATGGATTGCATATATTTATTGTTTGTGTTCTCATATCAATAAAGGAGTTTGCAAAATTTACAAAAAGTATAATTCTATATACAAAAAAAAAGATCTTTGGTAGGAATTGAAATTATTTTATTTTTCGTTGTGCATGATTAAGCTTTTGTTAGTAGAGATTAAAATCATTTTAGTATATTTTGATAAAAGTTGATGAAATGTATGGTTGAAAAGTTGTGGATCCTATAAAATATATAGTTAAAATTAATTGTTGATTTTGATCTAAAATTTTAAATGGATTTCAATTCAAACCAAAGGCTAAGTAAATTCCCAACAAAATCTCCTCTTCTTCTGCATTCTATTCACTATACATATATATTGAGTTACTAATTCTCTCTTTCTTGTTCATAAATCTGTCACGAAAGAGAAAAATATCGATAGGCTATTATTGAATTCATCCGAGCCGATATTCTGAGTCAAAGCGAGATAGCACCAGCCTCTTTCAAGAGAGGCACAAGGGTGCCATTGATGTGAGAGGTCATGACTTTGTCCACAGCACCCACCAGTTTGCCACAAATGAACACCACCAGCACCGGCACCGGCACCGGTACACCCGGTAACCAAACGAGAGCCTTCTCCATTTCTTTTCCTCTGGGATCTTCGTCCAGCTCGTAAACAGTAGCGTTCACTCCCATGCCGGAGAAGAGCTTCTTCATGGCATGACACAAGCAGCATGTACTTTTGCTGAATATCACCACCGCATTCTTGGGCGCCAATCGTTGAATGAGTTTTAAATAAGAATTCGTTTGGTAATGCATATTTCAGACTGACTGAGAAGAGCACAGGACAGTGTGTCTTACGTTGCTTTGATTTTGAGGAAATGAACTGGTATTTACAGAATGATCTATTATGAATAAAATATTTAAGCAGTGTCAAAGTTGGCTAAGTGTGATTCGAAGAAGAGCCAAGCGGTAGACTTTCGCAGAATAAAAATTTATTTTAATTTGTTCTTGCAATAAAGGCAAAAGCTACTCTCTCTAGATATGTTCTTCTTTTATGTTGTTTTTAGAGCATGTGCAAAGAATGATATTTACTTATTTGGGATAAAAAAATTTATATTATGTTGTCCAAAACAATCACTTATAACACCTAGGGTTTGGCCCTATGACCTGCTCTTATGAAAATAGATTTTTTGAAAAGTAATTATTTAATAGAACGTGTAATTAAAACATAGGAAAAACTATGAATTCAAATACAAAATTATTTTATTGGGAAAATGTATGTCGAAAATAAATTTTAAAAATATGTACCAACCAAGGGCTCAACGATCAAAATATTATTATCGTATTGGGTGTGATACTACAAGAGTTGACATTTATATTTATGTACAAACGTTGACCACCCCAATCTATCAATCAAAATTTAGAGACATTTGATACATTTATGTAGTTATGTCTCCACTTCTTGAAAGTTGAAATACAACGTATTGCAATCATTATAAGCACCAACACTAAATGCAGACACAACTCTTGAATTAACATGTTAAGTAATGATATGTATCCTTATTGGGGTTGTAATCCCAATTTAGGTAGCTCTAAATGATAGGTTAAATGAAAGGTGAAATTAAATGACTTATTTAATTTCACTTATGATTTAATACCACATTAATGCCACCTAAAATGAGGTTGTAACCCCAGTGAGGCTAAATAGCATTACTCTAAGATGTTAGGTTAAATTTCTCAAAAAGAAAAACCATCATGTTTAGTTGTTATTGTTGAATTTGGAGTCTTGAACTATCAATTATAAGATGGCATCATACCCCTTATTTCTTGGACAACACAGATATTGAAACAAAGATTGTGATAGTGCGTGCGAGTTTTACACTAAAGAATGTGGTACATGCATCGAATACACAACTAATGTTGCTCCCTATATTACCTATATCATGAACTATGAAACTATAAAGTAAATGATATAGTGAGAAATATATTATTTAGCCAATGTGTGAGCACCATTTTTCTGAAAATTCATTTTTTTGAAACTTATTTTCAACCATATTTTTCTATAAAATAATTTTATATGTAAACTAAATTTTCTTCTTATTTTTTAATCATACAGTCTCCAAAATATCGTTATTCCAAAACTTTTTTTTTTTTCGAAAAAATAGGCCTCAAATAGGCCCTTAATTGTAAACTCATGAGTATCTAATGAGAGGGACAAGGCAAAGAATGGAGGGAAGAGACGACCAACAGGCTTTCATCAGAAGAGGTATGTGTGTTTTGTCGTCACTGTCAGCCCTCCTTTGGTCCACAAGTAAGGATGGCAATTTGAACTGTTAAAATCTAAAACCGCAGTTAATCGAACCAAATGGGCCGAAAAAATCGAACCAATGGTGTAATGAGGTGATTATGGTTTTAATTTTAATGACCTGGTTCGGGGTGGGATGGTATGGTATTTAGCGACGGTGTCCCGCCCGAACCGATTACCTGTTAAAAAAAATTAATTGGACAATTGGACTTTACATTATTCTTTTCCAAAATTAATTGGGCAATTTTGATAATTGGGCTTCAATTAACATTACTAATAAACCC